GTCTTTTTAATTTTATCTTCATTTTCTTTAAATTTTCTTTTTTCTTTTCTATATTAATATTTCTATTGCCTAACCATTTTACTATATCTTGTATTTGAAAATCATTTTTTATTTTTATGTATCTCTTGTTTGAGTTTTAACTACTTCTGTTCCAACTTTTTTTTTTTTATATTAGTGTTTCTATCTTTTAGACATTTTTTTCTATTTCTGCAAATCTTTTACTTAAATTTTGAGTTATTCTATTTTAGCTTCTTTTTTTTTTTTTTGAAAACCTTTTTTTTCTCTTATTTTTTTTTCTTTTCACTTAACTAGAATACACAGAAATTGTTATACATAATTGGTCTTGATTAGCTATTTTTCTTTTTTTTTTTGTTGCAAATGAAATTATTGCAATTCTTCATTAGTTTTTATTTCTATTCAGTAGGATGTACACTAATTTTGTATCTTTATTTCTCAAACATTGTAATAGTAGAACTTCTGAAGCATTACTTAGCAGTTCTGTTAATTTTGCTATATACTGCCTTTGTTTTTATCTTGCTTCATAATCTTCTTTTCTTTTTATTACTCTTATCAATTTATAGTTGTCAACTGGTATGAACCAAGAAATACTTCCTTTTTCTAATTTTTCTACTTGAATTATTATAAGAGTCTTGTATTTGAACCTTTTAATTCTTTTTATTTATGTTTTTTGAATCTTCTAAGATGTATTCTAGTTTCTTTTTATTTATATCTGCTGGCAGGTTCAGATTATTATATGTTTTAAATCTTTTATTTTTTTTTCTCAATATTTGTATATTATTCTTTTACTTCTTCTCTAATTTTTTCTTTTCTATGATTTTTTTTCTTATATTCTGTTGTATTATATTTTTTATTTTGGTATTTATTATTATATTTTTTTTATTCTGTTCTTCTTCTTTCTTTGTCTTCTTCTAATATTATTTTATACTAATTACTTTCTTTTTTACTTATTCTTTATATTGCCTTATTTCTATTATACTCATAGTTAAAGTCTATTTCAATTCACAGATTTTCTTATTTGAAGGTTTCTTTAATGTTCTTAATGTGTTTATTGTCTTTTAGTAACCATTTGATAAACTTTACACATTCTTCTTTTGTTTCTCCAGACACATTATGTGCAGATATATTAGTGAGTAAACTGTTGGTTTTGTTATAATTTCTTTTGCTTGGTGCCTATATACTTTCTTCTAAAGAAATTTTATCATGTCTATTTCTTTTTCTATTATTTGCTTTCTTTTAATTTATTTTTTTTTCTTCTAATATTGAACCTTATCTCAATTATTTACTATTCATTTTTATGTTTTCTTGTTCTATTTCTCTTATTTGTTTTTTTCTTGATTTTTTTTCTATATAAGTAGTTTTTTTTCTATTTAGTTTATATTTTTATTATTTACTTTTATTTTTATTTTTTTCTTTATATTAAATCCTTTTCTTATAGTTTTCTTTTACTTATATTATCTTCTTTTATCTTACTTTTAATTTTTTTTTGTCTTATGTCTATCTTCTTATTTTTCTTCTTTTTTGTTTATTTCTTATTATACTGTTTCTTTATTTTCTTGTTTGTAAATTCTTCTAAGTTTAATTATTATTAAATTCTTGTTTGTCTCTGTAAAGTTTAATTTCTTTTCTGGTTATTCTTTTTTTGTTCTTTTGATTAATTCTTTAGTTTTCCTTAACAGTGCAACTTCCTTTAGGTTTTGCTTTGTAAACATAGCAACAATCTTATTTTCTTTGTCTAGTATTATATATATATTATTTGACTAATTAAAGAATATTTTATTATGTATTCTGTTCATTGCTTAGTATGCTCTTTTTATAAAAATTATTAATAAACTTTTTTCATGCTCTACTAATTCTATGTTTTATTTATATCTATATATTTCTGATTGGTTTCTAAATATTCTTTGTTATATTGTTTATCTATATATAAAATTTCATATATATTATTGTGTGATTTGTGATGTCTATACTGATTTGGTGATCTGCATATATCTGTTGTTGTTTTACTGTTGTGTTTTTTGTATAATATAAACAGATCTACAGTACAAGGTCTAATGATACTTTTCTATTGTTGTTATTTTTCAATAAGTTTTCTCTTTTCCTCCTGTAACTATTCTATTAGTTTTGTGACAAGACTTTTTCTCTACTAGTTTATTGTTTTTTATATTGCTATTTCTTTTTATTTAGAACTACTTAAGAGGTTTCTTATTATCAACTTTACTAAAATCTTCTTTTTTTTTAGTTGTTTTTTGTATCCAAATAATCAATAAGAAGAGTTTTTTTTATTTTACATATAAATACTTATTTATATTTTTTTTAATAATTTGGATTTATTATATAAATTTTATAATATTTTAAAATTTTATCAGATTAATTTTAATAAATTCTAAAATATTACAAAATTTATATAATATATCTGAATTATTAAAACTAGTTTTAATATATAATTCTAATTCATGCATCAAATTTGTCAAAAAAATAATACTGTTGAAAAATAAATACTATTAAAAATATACAGTATTAAAAATTTTAGAAATTTATCAAATTAATTTTAATAAATTTTAGAATTTATATAATAAATCTGAATTATTAAACCAAATCCAAGTTCTAATTCTAATTTATATATTAAATTTGTCAGAATAATAATATTATTGAAAAATAGATACTATTAAAAATTAATATACAATATTGAAAATTAATTATTAGTAAACTAATACTATTGTATAAAATATAATAATCTAATGAAGTGAATAGGTTGTCAATTCTCAAACAACAGGTTTAGTATTTAAATTTTACAGATAATGAATTTTGAAAATTATATTTATATTATAATAACTGTTTTTTGTCAATTGGTTGAATTTATATATCTATAATCATCTAAATTGATATTCTAAAAAGTCATGTTAGTCTTAAATAATAGTTAATAAAAGATAATAAAAAAGATATTAGAAAGAAAGGTACCAGAATTTGAGTAAATTTTATAAAAGTATAACAATTTAACAGTTATTTCTGATTGCAAGTACTGATCTAATCCAAAACAGTATCAGAACAACTATAAGTATAAGATACAGAAAACTCTGATAGATTTAATACAAAATCAAAGATTTCTCATATAAGTGAACTACTTTAAAAACTTTATAATCATGATATATTTGTATTAGTATTAACTGAAGCAATTAGTAAAATAGGTAGATAATAAATACAAAAACTAGAATGTTTAAGTAAAGAACCCACAGATAGGATCTAAATATGACAACTAATATAGAACCTTTGAGCAAACTACTTAATTAGACAATAACTAAAGATATATAAATAACTAGTTGTATATCCTTTCTGTAGTTGTTGTACAAATAGCTATTAGCTAAAGCATACTATCAATAAAATTCTAGTCACAAGTACTCACTTTAATATTAAAAAAAAAAAAACTAATACTATCAATAAAAAAGTATTGTCAGAAAAGAAGTAAGTTGGAAAAAGGTTTGTTGGTAAAGTGAATTATCAGGTAAGTGTTTTTAGGTTCCAATAATGTTTATATAATAAAACCCACCCAACTCTAACACTCATATATAACCTGCTTAATAACTATTTGTTTCTCTCAAAATATCTAACTTCCTAAAAATATCACTTCAACTAGTAATTGCCACCCTTGTCAGAACTACTTATTTTAATATTTTTATTTATTTCTACTTCTAAAATACCAGGACCAAAACTTGCAATCAGAGCAAACCTTTTAATCATTTTGCTCATATTGAGCTTATTATAGAGTAGTTTATCTATTCTAACTAACATGTTTTTTTAAAAAAAATCTTCGCCTTTCTTGTCTTTATGATACTCTTTGTATTTCCTTTGTCAACATTGTTTCTTTCTTTTACGATCTTTTACTTGAATTTACTCTTCTTATGACCTAGCCCATTCTAGCACTGAGACTTATACATCCTTGTGAGATCTCAGATTACTCTTTTTAATATTATAGTCGACCTTTCTTTACTTTTTTTCTTTTTTAAAAAAAAATTTATTAATGAAAGTGATTTGATTTGCGAATAAAATATAAAAAAAAGCAGATGCGATCTAACTATATGATTACCACCGTACAGGGAAGATGATATTCATAACTATATACACGTGATCACACTATCATTTCGTTTTGCCAGCGTCTACACAAGGTTCGAAAGCAATCGTGGCATTAAGTAATTTTATGTAGAGTACCTGTCATCAATCGGTCACCCATAAAAAGCTGGATGAAGCGAAAGCATTTTAGAGATAACATCGGCTGAACATATTTCAGCTCTTTATCTTATACTTTACCAAGAACCAGCACTCGTCACGTTGGGCTATTTGGCTTACACTCAAATCCTATTTGATTATTGTAAAACTCGTTCTACTTGAGGCTTAATAAAGAATGTATAGATTTTAACTATATGCGTTCAGTCAATTTTGAACGCTTTCAGTCTGTTTCGAGAATTGGTATCTAGTTATAATCTATCTATTGAATTAATCAACTAGATAGTTTATGGCCACGGCTCGAATAGAGTCAATTCAAATAGTGGCCTATGGACCTCTAGTCTTAACACTAAAAGTTATCCATTATCATTAGGGCAATGGGAGTTGTGAAAATCTCGTATAAATCGTAGTACATTTATTGCGATATCATTAATATTAAAAAGTGAATAAAAATTTTAATTTACAATGACTTTCATGAACAAACTTGATGACTTATTTATTATATTATAACAATTGTCAGCTATACGGTCTTTAATATTGTATGAATAAATCAAACAAGGATGAAAGGTTAAATCAGCGCCTATTCATTCGATCATCGGTAGTAGACGTAGTCTAATAATATGACAATTGATACATATAGTTGAAATTTCCGATGTTAAAAAAAAACAACTATTATATACTTTTGTTTAATAATATTTACTAATATATTATGCATGCCAAAATTCACTCCTTTATATTTGACATTACTGATTAATTATAAATTATATCCAAACGTTATCTAGCCTTAAATCGTTTGTTTGCTCTCTCCTTCGTATTTCATAGCAATACATACTACCGTCTGCATAAATCAAGTGAAGATTATAAAAATACAAAGAAGGATCTTGTAGATTGTCATTTTTTACAACAAACATTCCTAATTAAGTTAAAATAAAATTAGCTTTGTAAAATATCCAAAAAAGTACATAACCAATTTCTTACCTATCAATGGTGCGTTTGGTAAAGGATTCTGGGGTATGAGTTTTTCGTCATGAAGATAATAATGTTCAATCCCCTTAATGCTGATTTCTCTTTAAATAAACGGATAAGTAAATAAACAAATAATTATATTTATAATATTGTGTATATTATTGAATAACTTACTTAAGAAGTCTAACTAGTGCAACCTTTCCTTTCTGACTTGCAACTATTGCGAGTGAGAGATCAGGAATCCACTACATCGTAATTATGAATAAACAATCAACACGTACGTATGTGTAATAGCTATATACTATAGAAGATAAAATATAGAATACAGATATGATTAATTTACCTCAACCATATTCAATCGATCATTTGAGTCCAAATAACTCGCTCTTCTTGAATCACTCTTACAAACAACTCTCCTTAATGAACTCTGAATAGATAAGTTTGATTTAGGATCAAGAAGAAATAAATCATGTTGTGAGCTAAATAATACGAGATCCTGAGAGATCTTAGGAACTCGTCCTTTCAGTGTTTTATGCATCTCCATATTGTCTATCGCAATCGCTATTCTTCGGTTCAAAGATCGTGATCGGTAGCTCCTCTCCTGCTCCTCTAAATGACTTTAGGATTTTTAATCATGGATTGTAGTAAGTAAATTATAAATTCTTTATTAAAATAAATTTATGGTATAAAGATATATAAAAACCTGTATGATCGTGGTGACCGTTCATTTTCATATGAGTTTTCAGGAATATCATCAAAAAAATCTTGAGCTCTTGGACGTGCATAAGTGGGATTATAGCTTGGTGATGTAGGTGTATACTGGGGTGACATCGGATCATAATGTGGTGATTCTGGAGTGTAGTTCGTATTAATTGGTGAATATTCTGGCGACATTGGAGAATAGACAGGAGATTCCGGTCTAATATGCTCAGAATTAGAGGACGACGAAAATGTTGCAGTTACTTGCTCCTGGGACGTGGAAATGTCATTAATCAATGGCGTCTGCGGTGGAGGTGAATAAGTTGCAGGCAGTGTATATGGTATATTTTGTCCAAGTCCGGATGTTGCTGAAGAACTTGGCTCTTGCATATATTGAGGCGTTGCTGATTTCACAAATAATTTATTGATTTCAAAATTTCGAACTTTCATATAATAATTGAAATGTTAATTATTTATACCTGGAGAATACGCTGGAGAATTGTTGGAAAAGTAAATTGCCGGTAAAATCTGTTGAGTAATCGAAGTTGATGGAAAGCGGCTAGCATAAAAAATCGGTGACGGATGCCTTTGTGAATTCCCGTTCTCTGTGCGTTCGGATGATGATATTTCATCACTGTTTTGGACATTAAGGTTGTTACTATACATATCTCGAGTTTCAGCGCTTGGTGACCATTCATCATCAGACATATCATCTGGAACTGGGGTATGCGAACCATGATCATCTGAATCATTTTCGTTATTATTATTTGTTCCTTGTACATCCGAATAGCTAGATTCATTTTCTTCATTTACAGCTTCGGCCTCGCCGTAATCATTATAAACTATTGTTATTTCTGTGTTTTCATCATATCCATCTTCATATTCAGTATCCAAAGGAAAAAATCCGATAGTAGGAGTTACGGAACGTAAAGGTGTCGGTATATTATCTCTTTCTGATTCTGATTCAGAATATACACGATCAGCACGACTTTGTGATCGGTTATTAGTATCTTTGTGTGTACGAAGATTTCGTGATATGGTTTTATTTGTGTTCTTGAAATTAGATTTAGAAACAAAACATGCAGACCAACCCCTATTAAAATTGATAGGTAAAAAACCATCGACATATGCAAGTATTAAAAATTAATGAATAGATCCTTTAACCTTACCATTCATTAGAAACATCATAAACAGCTATGGTTTGACCTGTATTAACATTCCAAATTCGACATGATCTATCGATACTGCATGAAACCAAAAATTGACCACAAGAACTGAACGATATATTAGGGATATTGTGTCTATGACCACGAAGTGAATATTTTTGCTTGCTACTCATGTCCTGACTACCAGAAAATTTTGCTGATGGTTGTAATCGTTGTAATCCATATTGTAAGTTGAAAATTGTGATTTCGTGAGAATTAGCACTGACCGCAAGTAACCGTCTTGGACCATGAAGTGTTATACCCCATGTGGATTCATTATTTCTACAACCAACAGAATTCAGTATTAGATCACGATGATAATGTATTTATTAAAAATAATTATCCTTTACAATTGATGATAATCTCACTTGAAGTGCAACGGATTTTTTTCAAGGTTTGAAGTATACCAAACATGAATGTCTCCCGATTCATCAACACTAACAAGCACTTCTTCGTACCCAATCTCTCCCACTTTAATAGCATTAATTACATGTAACTATAATATATAATAACTTAAAAAACAAATATATCTCTAATGACCATGAACTTTAGTATAGTAATCATCCTTACTTCCTCATCATCAGGAGAAACTGAATCTACGGGACGGTTGAGTTTTTTGAATGGTTTTTTTGGCGTATCATCATCATCATGGTATGGGTTCAGCCGGTACGCAAAGATAGAATCATAAATAGCCACAAAAAAGATGTCTTTAAACTTGTTAGATACGGCTGTAAGGTTCATTCGCTGAAATTACATAATATGAAATAATTAATTGTTTTCTTTGGCTACTAATCGTAAAAAATAGGTAAAATAAATTGATCTCTCTTACTAAAGGATAATATCCTATCACTGAAATTGGATGTCTTTCATATACAGTATGAACCTGTTAAAAGTGATATAAATGCTACATTAATAGAATAATGAAATATATACAACATTGAATTAAATATTGAAATGATCAATACCAATAGATCATGATATTCTTTCATATTGTTATTTCAGTTAGTTAATCTTAAGAGATATAACTTTAGTTAGACACCTCAATTAAGATAATCTAGGCAATTATTCCGTTCGTACTATTATCACTCACTCTATTTTTGTTTGGTGAAATATACCTATCGTCTCAGTTCAATTATATTTTCATTTTCCAAGTATTTTAACTAAAATTAACAATTTTATTGTTAATCAATGTTAATTTTATAAGAAAATTTTTATTATTCTCAATCAAGTTAAAATTCTATACATGCGCAAAGTGTAAATCACCGGTATGCTTGAAATTACCTTTGCCCATTAATAAAGTTTAAACATAAAATCTACTTTTATAAACAAATAAGAACTAGTGTAAATTTCACGAAACTATCAAATTATAAGCTAATTTTAACTGTCGTAATAGAAACTTAGAAATCTACCTTTGCGTGTGTACTATTCGTTCACAACGAACGAGAAATTTCAAATTGGTTTTTTTTCAAAAATAGTAACTACATTTATATAATTTTTGATCAGCGATCACACGATTTATCACACACTAAGATGGTTTAAATCTCACGTATTGAGTCAAATGATTGTCGCATATTAAAATTTGTCAAAAATGCTTCCTGACCCTTATTTGGTAAAAAGATTAATTTTGGGGCAAAAGTTTGCTTATTCCTCAATTTTTTTACGGCTTATACTATTTGTTTATTATAAATACACATCATTTAACCAAAAACAGGGTCGTCTAAAGTTAGAGTGTCCAGAATTATGTTCCAGCAATTGCCAAATTATGTGCGAACCTAGGGATTAAAATTTCCATAGCGATAAGATAGATGTTTATACAGTAGTCCAAAATATAGACTATTTGCGAAACAATTTCTTCGAACCCTAACCAAATGGTAAGATCCTGTCCCTGACCAGAAGGTTCAAAGCTTTACTAGAAACGGTATAGTTAATAACTTTGCTAAGTTCGGAGCTGTTGATTTTTGAAGTGTATCTAGGGATGTTAAAATGTCGATCCGGTCCAGTCCGATCCCAGGACCTAAAAGGATCATCCTAGACTTAAATCCCACCAATCAATTCCAGGATCGGATCCTCTGAATTTTAATACTCTAAATAAGTCTATTCAATAAAATTTTTGACTTTTCGTTTTTATATTTTGAACCGTTAAAACTTTATTTATTTAAAAATCTAATCTATCTAACGATCCAAAAAATTTCAAATCAAAATTCATATATGAATAACCATATAAAAGTATATACGAAAAACAAAAAAAAAACAATGTGGTAAAAAAATTTTGCTGTATAAACTGAAAATACAAAATCAAAAAAAAATGTAAAAAAACTTCAAATACAACTAGGAATCATTTCAAACTGGAATAATGACAATACAACCAATAACTACTAAACTATAAAATCTTTTTTTTTTGTTTATTTTAATAGTACTTCACTATATCAGCTTTTAAGGTATAATGATGCATGTGTTATTTCAGTATCAATATGATTATAAGTAAGAGAAATAGTATGTTTAGTTACAGAAAATGCCTGTTTAGAAGGTATACTAGTTGATTGAATTGTAAGGTAATTCATAGCAATTCTAGATAATATAGAATATTAATTTGAATTCATTTTTCACTATAAGAGTAGTTCTACTTCAGTATCTGGTTCTTTTAAATATTTTATAATTTTATTAGGATCTGAATATATTATATAGTTTATAATAAGACTACAAAAAGAATTTTAAACTGTTTTAGTAATAATTATCTCAAATGATAAAGATTTATTTTTTTTATTTAGTTTATACTTTTCAAACACTTGACAAAACATATTAATATAAATCATTTTTACACAAAAATAACTAAAAAACCGTCAGTACTAAAATCGTTAATATCTAGTTATTTTATTAAGATAACTAACTTTGGCGTCTTAAGTAAACTTGTTCAG